GCGTGGCTCAAACGAAATAAAAAATGGCACATGTTTATGCGGATCGGTTTCCCAATCGAGTGCAACCAACCCCTCGTGCCTTTGTTAATGTAGTACAACGGGCTCGTGAATCAGGTGACTTAAGACCTCACAGGGGACGGCATGCCGGTGCTCCAAGACCTCACGATCAAATACAGGTCCGCACTGAAATACTTGTCGGGAGGATACTTTATAAAACAAGGTACATTTTTTTTATTTTATTTTTACACACATATTTTGGTTTATCTTCCTTCTACAATCATTATCTGAAAATTATTGACTCAACTTCAAAGTCTACTACCGTACTACACTTTTGTTGCGATGTAGTAATCACACTATTTACTAGGTTCGAAAGAAATCCAGAATTTTGAACTCAGTTTCTCAGACTTCGAATTTTACACTTTACAGTCTTTTACCTAAGTGTAGGGCTTTTATTTGCCTTGCTGACAGTGTAATGGTGCATTTCACTTTATCATGAAAAGAGTACATTCTAAGATCTGTTTTCGTAAGCCTTTAGTGTAACTCATTGAAATAAGGTATTTGATCCATATCAATGACATGCAGATATTTTATCATGTTCTAGCTCCGCTCCATAACTAGTTTTCAAAAGTGCGCCCCTGTCCAACGTAAAGGTAATTATACATAAAAAAGCGTTATGAACAATCATATTTTATCTTACAAAAAAGTTGTGTGATAAGCGAAATGTGATATAATTGTTAATAGATTTCAATAATATCGAAAACACCATTATGCTAATATTTAATCTTGTCATTGGGTCGCTTGATAGCACAAGATAAATAAAGTGCACTCTAAAAAAAAAAAAAAGAAATAAAATGTTTCCATCTTTATCTATTTTATAGAAGGTGATCGTAATACTCATTGACGACATTTGTCATTTGCAAATCGCTTTCCTTCGCATCGCTCCATTTGATTATATGTAACAGATCTCAGTGGAGGTTTTTCTCTTCGCTTCTCTTCATCTCAATGAGCGTGCACCTTTAGGTCTTCATTTTCACTTCATGAGCCATTTGTATCTTGAACTAAGGTTTTTTGGTTGCTTACCAGAAAGAACCCTCTGCATGTCGAATCGTGTTTTATGAACATAAAAGAGAATAAGATCTGGTTCTTTCAGGAGAAATTGGTCGCCTATATGGTAGGCGATTCTTGCTTGTCTTCATAGAAACAAACGCAGTCATTCGGAGACGCCTGTAGATTCCTGCCGCCAACGTAAACGTTGACAGCATCGGATTGGCGAGTGATGTATCACGTTTGGTTTATTTTTCGCACAAAACCTACTAACCTGTTTATCTCACATGATGTTTTTCCGCATTTTTGCACCTTCAAATTTTTGTTCGACCAACGTCTAAGCGTATCTACCAACTTGCGGGACCCATGAATAAAATTGATTTTTTCAAATGTCCGCATGGCAATCGTATGTATTTTTCAATTTCAAAGATTTTATAGAGGGTGTTTCAGAAAGACGTTCCAATACTTCTAGGGTAGAAAGCTCACCCAAAAATAATAGAATAAGTTCCTATAATTATGGATCCAACCATGCTCCCCTATCGACGTACAGGGTGAAAAAGTTCTATTAACGAAATTAAAAAAATGTATCTTCGTAGCAGGTAAATATTGAGTTAGGATTTTAGACGTTCAGTGAGATGATCATCAGCAATAAACACATATAGTTTCCTGGCACAAACTGAACCAGGGACGTAGAAACTGGGGTACCTGGACCCCTAATATTTTTTACGCCCCTGACCTTTTCAAAGAAAAGAAGTGCATTTTATAAAATACCTTTTCTCTTGAGGAATTTTTGTCAGATCTCTCGTTTTGGAGATATTTAGGTTAGAATATTTTTGATAAAATCCTCAAATATTCTTATCAAAAGGTTTATCCTCCCCTATTCTGAAAATACCGTGATGCTTGACATTGGAAACACAGTACCGCATATGAAGAGAGCTTTGGCACTTCGTCACCCTGTATCTCGGTAAAGGAGGATCTCTTATAGGATTTTTTTTTGTAATTTTTGGAGGTACTTTCTACCCTAGAAATATTGGCACGTCTTTCTGAAAGACCCTGTATAGCACATACCACATTTTTTCCTCCCAATTTCAAGTGTGCCTTTTGCCAACTGAATTACTTCCAATTTGTTTCTAGATACAACAAAACTGGAAATTTTGTTGATTCACCGTTTTCCCCAGTATTCCAGTCTATATGCGTTTAGTTGTACGAGTGAGGCAAGAATAGCAAGTGTCATAATGCCTTGGCAAGTGTCCATGACGTGTGTATCCAGAAAATACAACGACAAAACGATCCCGCCTAGCCAATGCGAGTGTGTGTGGCAACCAGCAACTATTTTCGTAAAGGTCGACGTTTTCCAGTTTCTTTTGCCTTCTCCTGTTTGATCACTGGCGTCCTGAAGTATTTTGCACTGAAGAGTTAACCAAAACAGTACCAAGTAGACAGTCGTTAACAGAGGGCTTGAGTAACTATGAACCTCAATATGACTGATGCCAATAAGAAAAAGTTCATACTGGTACATAACTAGACTAAGCCCACTGCTCCGCTTGCGTGGAAGTAGTGGGAAGTATAGGTCATTCGTTTCCTATTAGCTTGAACGAGATTGGTTTCGGAGAAAAAAATGCACTATTCGAAGTAGTGCAATAGTTACTTTGGCAATGAACATTTTTTATCAAATACTTTAATTCAACAATAAATAAATTCCAATGTTTCGTTATTTTATCCTCGATAAAAAGTAAGGAGTTTACTTGATAATGTATCTGATCCTATATCATACACTCGAACTTACAATTGTACACAAAGTTTCTTGCTATCTTTATGTCCGGTGTCGAAAAAATTAGGTTCAATTTAAGGAAACTGTCTTGACCTTCAAATGAGATTAGAGGTGATAGTAAAGGTCACGTTCAAGGTCACCATTAGACGAATCTTTTCAAACCTTATCTTTATTACATATTTCTCTATTGAACGTATCTTTCGAGAGCCTTACCCTACATTATGGGCATACTCAAATATCCATTAAGGTCATGGACAAGGTCATGGACAAAGATATACTTTAATGAAAAAATCTTCTCTCTTTACATTTCTGGCGTCAAAAGAAGGGCGATCGTTTAAGAAAACTCTATTGACCTTTAAATGACCTCAATTTGATCTAGTTTCCGAGATAAACTAACCTAAAAGCGCAAAATTCCGTTTTTTGCTTATATTTGAGGGTTTGTAGCATATGAATTCTTTTTTCAATTAAACCATAGACATCATCTCAAAGTGCCTTTGTTTACTTTCGGTCTAGATAGGCTAAGATGGGTTGGGGAATTGAGGTTTGGGTAAATTTTCGATAATGTAGCTAGATCGATTCAACTCTTGTCACAAGAAAGTAATTCTTATTTCAAAAAAAGTGTACAACCGAACGAACGTTAAAAATAGGAATATGCGAATTTTGGGACGCTGTGTAAAGTTCATCGAAAAAGTGGCAACAGATTAATTATTATCTATGGTTCAGATTGGTGGGCCAGGATGGTGGATACGCAAACATTTTTGAGCAGTTCCCTCCCTTCGAACTTTCAAGTCAAAATCAGCTTTTTCGCCTTTTAGATTCCGATCCTGAGATTAAGCCTGAAAAGGTTTCTCAGACCTTAAACTAACTGTTATCAAAAATCAAAAGAGGTATTTCTGCTCTTCGAAAATATCTAAAAGCTACCCCTATTTAGGAGATAACATGACCCGAAAATCTAACGACTCTGAATTTCGTCACTTTTCCCGAATTTTAGGTTAACCCTAATTTCTGGGATTATTTAATATAAATTAAACTAATGCGCATAAAGTTTGGTCGTCGGGAACTACACCTAAGTGTCTCAAAACGGGTGAATGGGGTGAAAAACTGTAACTTCTGGGTTTTATCAGATTGTAAGATAATTACAGGAAGCAATTCATTTTTGAAATAATATAATGAAAATAAAGGGGAACTTCAAATTCGGAAAAGTGTGGAACTTAAAATTAATTAGATTTTGGGGTCGTTTTAAAAAAACAAAAAGGAATGCCTCTTTTGGTTTTTGTTAACGATTAATTAGATATCTGGTAAAACCTCTATTCTCAAAGTCAGAATCCAATGCGCAAAAACAGGCGAATTGTGGGGTCACTCTTTCCGTTCTCGTGTTCCGTTGTTACAAGCAATGGAGTAATCTGAGACGCTGATTTTGGATATTGCCATCAAAAAATGCGGAGGGTCCCGAGTCCTTATTAGTACATACCTGTATAAGGACCTTTTGATGCCTTCCACCAATCTCAGCGAAAAGCTGATATTAGATTCGTGATTTCGCATCTCATTTACTCACATATTTTTCGAGACATCCCAAAAATGTGTAGAACCAGAATACTTGAAACCCTGTCAGGAATTTAGACTGTAATGCACTATACATTTTTTAAGCTTCTAGATGCCACAAACATGCAGAAACATCACAATTCAATTAATTTCGATCTGCCGCTACTGTTCTTCCTGTTTTCCATGGAGTGTAAAAATACATCCCAGCGGTTGTTTGGCATATTTTACAATGCCTTCTCGCTGCTTATAAATCACGGCGGTAGTTTATAAACTATCGAAACCATTTTGTAACTGCGCCATGGGGGAATTAAGATCTTACTTACCACATATGCCAACTACAGTTGACATATTTTTATTTAGAAAATGAACAGTTGTTTGAAAAGAAAATAAGAGGAATAGAATGTTCTTCGTGTCAGCTTATCCTTGAAAATAGTACATACAAGATGTGAATCTATGCGTAGCTCAGAAGGGAATGAAGCTGATGAATACTGGATCCATCCTTTCATCACAATTGTTTCAAAAATAACGGTCGCTCAGGAAAAAAGGCGTCAAGTAGGTTGAGACTGCACTGCCCACGCAAGCCCGTTAACAATTCATAAAGGATTATGTTCACCACAAACTAGACCCACTGACACAAAGTTAATACAATTAGTCCATAAATATTATTTCCTTGTCCTACCGGTATTCCATCATTCATACTATAGACATGGTGAGAGAGTAGACGTCCTGTGTGTGTGTGTCGCTCTGCAGAAAATCTGAAAAACCTCCAGTAATAAGTGGAATTAAATAATTTGGTTATTCTGCTCTGAAAGGTTAGTGGACACTAAATCAATATGCCATTGACACGAGATCAAATGGCCGATGTTAGATTAATTATAAAGCAAACCATTGAAGAATTGCTCAGTGATGATAAATTCTTAACGCTTATTTCTGATAAAATCGAACAGAAACTGGGTATAAAGGAATCTCAACAAAAAATGGTCGAGCTAGAAAAACAAATAATGGACCTGAGACATGCTAAGAATAAGCTAGAGTGTGATTTGGAAAAATTTCAACAACATGCACGTCGGAAATCTTTTAGAATAGTTGGCATGAAGGAATCACATGGTACAAGTGTCCTGGAGCAGGTGCTTACCTTATGCGAAGATAACCTAAAAACTCGAGTTTTGGAAGAGAATATTGAAAATTGTTTTTGGTTAGGAAGAAAGAAGAACGAACAGCGTTCTGTCTTGTTTACTGTAAATTCTCATAACCTGAAAATGAAGCTTCTGAGAAACAGGAAGTTACTGAAAGGTTCAGGAATAACTCTTACTGAAGATATGTCGCCTGCTCGATATAAACTGTATCAAAAGGCCGTGCAGAAATGGGGTAAGCAGAAGACCTGGTTTTATAACGGAGAAATATGGGTGAAACTGCGAGAAAACAAGTTACAGATAAAAACGGAAGAGGACTTGAATAACATGGCGCAGTATTGTTCCCATGTACTGTTCAGGTTGCTGCAGAGTGGACGTGAGCTTTTCATTTTGGTTTAGTGCTTTTTTTTCTTTTCTTTTTTTCTCCTTCCTTTTCTGCGAGTTGTAATTTGTTACATAACTGAGCCATTGTTTAGTTGTAGCAGTTTAGTTAGTTTCAGTTTTTTCTGCATTCATATTGAGTTTAGCTTGATTTGTATATGACTGATATTGATACAGCTTTGAATATTTTAGAGGATTATAACAATATCACGACCATCAGTTGTTCTAATTTTGACGAATTAAATAGTGTTCTGTTTGAGAGAAGTGATAAGTTAAACTTCACTATACTTCATTACAATATCAGGAGCTTGCAAGCTCACTATGATGAGTTTTGTATAAACATAGCGGTGTTAAATAAGAATAAAAATATAGGTATAATTGTTTTGAGTGAGACCTGGAATATCAATAATATCGACAGTTATAAAATAAATGGCTTCCAAATTTACTATAATGAAGCCAAGTATAATAAATGCGATGGGGTTTGTATGTATGTAAGAGATGACATTTCGGCAAATGTTTCCATAAAAATGATAGGTGTAGTGACGGCATTGAATTGTAGCTTTATTTTCAACAATAACAGTTTCAGTATTACTGGTATCTACAGGCCTAATCCCACGAATGTACAGGATTTTGTAAACAATTTGGATTCGTATTTGAGAAATACTGCAAACTGTGATATTTCGTTGTTGGTGGGTGATATAAATATAGACTTATTGAGAGAACATGAATACAGTAATTTAAGTTACGTGAATATGTTGCAACAGAACGGGTACATATCTCAGATTAATACACCTACTAGGGTAGATTCTAACTCATCTAGGATTATCGACCACATATTTTTGAAGGCAAACAGATTTAAGGTCTCTGAAACAGCAATTGAGTGTAAACCAATACTTTTGGAAAATTGTATGACCGATCATTATCCTGTTTTGTTCAATTTTGGGTATTTGAAAGGAAGTAATTGTATCATTAATAAAAACAGCTATGAATTTAAGAAAATTGCTGAGAAAAAGTTGACAGATTATTTACAAGTGGTGACTTGGGACAGTGTTTTTTCAGAGAGTGATGTCCAAAAGCAACTGATAACTTCTATAATGAATTATATAAAGGCATAGATCATTCAACTTATTATTTAAAAATAAATAGTAAGACCAGAAAACGCAAGCCGTGGATGACTGAAGGTATTCTTACTTCGATCAAGAAGAGAGATGAGTTAAAACAGAGTTTGACGAAAGATAATGATAATTTGGTATTGAGACAGTCCTATATCTCCTACAGAAACAGAGTAACTAATCTTATTAAGATCTCCAAAAATCAATATTATACACAAAAACTCATTTTAGCTGGTAATAACTATAGGAAGAGCTGGGATGTTATTAATGAGGTAACTAATGCTGGCAAAATAAAAAAAAATGACGTAAAATCAATTAATCACAATAATCAGCAGCTGGACACTCCCACTGATATAGCCTGTGTTTTTAATAAATATTTTGTTGATATAGGTGAGCAAATAACAAGTCAGATTGATCAAAACTCAATTCTTGATACATCAGATCCTCATGTCATCAACATTGCTCACTCTATGTTTCTAACTCCAGTGGATAACATAGAGTTACAACAAATAGTTTGTAATCTGAAAAATAATAGCGCACCCGGAAAAGATGGCTTACACACTAGAACTATCAAGATGATCATGAAGTATATCAGTCACCCTATAACTCACATTATCAACCTCTGTTTCAAATCCTCAGTAATTCCTCGCCAATTTAAAGAAAGCATAGTGACACCAATATTTAAATCTGGAAGTAAAGACAATATGTTCAATTATAGACCTATTTCAGTTATCAATGTATTTGGGAAGATTTTTGAGAAGTGTTTGAATAACAGACTTTGTTCTTTTCTTGAGAAATATGACAATATCGAACTGTCAATTTGGATTCCGCAAAAATTGCAATACAGAGCAATCTCTACAAGAACTTACAGGACAAGTGCTTGAAAATTTTCAAGATGGAAATAAGACTGTTGCAGTTTTCCTAGATCTTCAAAAGGCTTTCGATTCAGTATCTCATACAATTTTATTAAAGAAACTAGAAAGTGTTGGAGTGCGTAGTGGAGTTCTGAACTTATTTGAGAACTATTTGGCTGATCGATTACAACAAGTTAAGGTAGGGTCAGATTTAAGCAACATTCAAAAGATCAAAATAGGTGTGCCTCAGGGGACAGTTTTGGGACCAACACTGTTCCTCATATACATAAATGAACTACTTCGATGTAATTTCAACTGTAAGATGATATCATATGCAGACGATACTGTTTTAGTTTGCACTGGTCATTCATGGGATGACGCAATACGGAATGCCGAGTTGTCATTAAATAAAGTCAAATGCTGGTTGGATAACAATTTACTTAAACTGAATATCTCTAAAACTAAGTATGTAACGTTTTCTCCAACCAAAACAGGCATGCCATTACACCACCGAACATTAATTATAAATGATAGTGCTGACACTGTCGAAAGAGTTGAAGTTATTAGATACTTAGGAATCATTGTTGACACTAATTTAAAATGGCAGAGTCACGCCGAGTTTTTGGCATCGAAATTAAGGAGAATTATTCATAAGTTTTTCATTCTTAGGAATATTTTAAGCAGAAAGAGTCTTTTCTCAATATATAACTCGTTTGTGGGGTCTCTACTAACTTACGGGATAAGTATTTGGGGAGCCGCATACACTAGTACTTTAAAAAGACTACAAACCACGCAAAATTATATTGTCAGGACTATTTTTCGTATCCCATGTAGGTCAAGTTGCAGATTTGTTTACATTGAAAATGATCTTTTGAATGTTAGAGGTTTATATATTTTTGCTGCTCTAAAATTTGTTCACTCCCGAAACAATGTTCCAACCAGCCACGCTTATGAAACAAGAACTAAAATAAATATAAGTTACACCTATACCAGAGTGAATAGATCTGTTTGCCAAAAATGCATAATGTTTGATGGTATTAGGTTGTATAATAAATTACCCCTAGAATATAAAATCCTCTCGAAGTATAGTTTCAAAAAAAGAATTAAGAAGTTCATCTTAAATAACTTTGACATGCTTGCATCGACGGTAGCTTGACTCAACTCAGTAATTTCGTTTCTATCTAATGTTTTTTTTTATTTATTTTTTTTATATACATTTGCTCATAATATACGTTATGACCATTAGCCATGCATTGAATTTGTATATTGTATGACACACACAAGCTTATAGCTTAGGTGTCTATTATTTTGTAGTAAATTCTTTTGTAGTAAATTGTAGTACTCTTGTTTCTCTGCTTAACCTTTACGCAAAATTTTTATTGTTTAAACAAGATAGTTTGACCTTACTCGAAATATCCCTCTATTATCATATTTCAGATATTCATATTTTATGTACTCTATATTTATACTTTTGAGTGTTTTTTAGTATGCTTCTGTACTATTGTTATGAATTTTAGATTTGTTTATGCAGAAACGTAATTTAGGATTTGGGACGACAAGATCCAGACATTTACCCTTTACGAAAGTATACAGAATTTTCACAATTCATATACCGTTACTTGCTGGTTCTAGATCTGATGCTAGTATCTTTGCTCAGATTTCTGTTGCAATCTTGGTTATTCGGGGTAGCAAGAGCATACAAGCTCATGTATTTTTGAAGCTTTTTTCATTTAAATTGTACTGAAGGTTGTTTTTAATTTGTAAGTTATATTGGTTTTTGAATTTGAATAAACTTTGAATAAACGACGCCTCTGCCCGATACCTAACCCGGTCAGACGTAGCAGCGCGACCTCAGCATAGGAAACATTATGCTGTAGCGTGGCAGTAATACGTGTAATACCAGAACACTTACCAAAGACAGGAGCAGAAGCAGACGCGGTCGGTACGTACGCGGTCCATCTGTTGAGAATATTTTCCACCTTGCTGTTACGCTTTTCTTTGAAAACTTGAGATGAAGGAACGCCATTATCTTGATAGGGAAAATATTATAATATATACTTTTGGTTGGTTTTATTATTATTGTAAAAAAATTATCTTTTAATTTATTTACTTTTTACTTTCATGTTAAATACATAGTTCAGTATTTTCTATATAATTTTCATAGATTTCATTAACAGTGCTCCATAAAACTTCTTACTTTATTTGTAATATAAAATTTCGATAAATATATTAGTCACATGACGATAACTCGATATTTTGCGGCCACCGCCACATGGAATTCAGAATGACATTTCTTTGCTTATTGTGTTATTATGGAAATGCAAAAACCGCCATTTTGCAGCACCCGACATACTTGATCCAAAATGGCGACGGTTATTTCATTGTGTATTGTTACGCGAACCTCAAGATTGACCGGTTCGAAATTCAGTTTCAAAATTTGTCCTACACAAACATACTAACAAACAGGTCAAGTTAAATAAATAAATTATATTTGCTCAGTTTGCTAACAAAATATAATGATGAAGTAATAGTAGAACAGTTACATTAATACTTTAATAGTTCTCCATGTAGAATTACCAGCATAAAACGTCTTCAAACTACACTGTTTCTATTCTCTGTTTGATACAAGTACGGCCTTTTTACCTTTTTATAACTTATTATGATTAGTTATTTAGTTTTTTTATATAATAATTATATTATTTGTGAATAAAGATTTATGGTTATAAATAATGTATTTATTAAATGTAATTATATAATTATTAAATTGAATTATTAGATGTTTGAGGTTTGCTTTGTGCTATTTATGTGAATTCTAATATGATTAAATGATACGAAAATAAAATAAAATTGTGCATTACTGCATCTTCCTTTGTAAAAATCATATAACTAGATTATGAAAACAACGAAAGGAGACAGTTACTTTGTTTTTGCATAGTAAAATGGCAGTGAATCACGTAACTTTTTGATTTACGACAATTAAAGACGAAATGTCATTTATTTAAGGCAACAATTATAATCCAAATTCACATTCAAATGACTGATAAAATCGTGT